GCTTGTGTTGGCCTAACACCACCAGTGACTACCCTTCCATTTGCATGCATATGATAAGACAGAGTATTGCTTAAGATGTATTCAGTTGAACTCAACATACTCACTCTGATAATTCATCTTATGGAAATATAGATTAATGCTGCAGTTGTAGACTTCCCCCTTTTTTTATACATTCCTACTTATCCTCTGGGTAGAGCTCTCTGCAAGACCAGGCAAATTTGTCTATCAGCAAGACAGCTCATTTTGTGTATCAGGGGATTCTAAGCACTTGATTAATTAGAGAAAGTTCTTCCAGCTCTGATGAAACTCTTTAGTACAGCTGTTTAATAATCTATATTCCTTGGACTTATCTTTTTTTCTTTTTTTTATCTTTTTCTTTTTTTAACTGTAACTTCACACCTGTTGTAAATGCAGCACGTTTTTGTGTATGTGATTTAATTTAGTCCTTTGTTGTAAACTAGCCATAAGCCATTAGAGCCTTTGCTTTACAGCATTTTTTACAGGTAAGGAGTGTTGTTAGACATTTAATAAATTATCTTCAATAAATAATAGAATTTATAATAACTGGAAATCACAGTGAACAGGTCCTCCTCTAAGAAATGCCATTCATTTAATTTCATGATCTTTTTTACATTTTTGTCATACACTACTGTCCAAAAGACAGAGACCAAAAAATAAGTGAAAAGAACTAAAGTTTCCAAAACTGAAGTTCAAATCAGTGCTGTGAATCTGAGAAAGTGAAACAGACAAAATAGTAGAAAATTTGTAAAACCAACAAAAAAGCTGCTGGTGTTCTCAGAACAATGGACTGACCACCCCAGAGTCCAGACCTCAACATCACTGAGTGTGTTAGGGATTACTTGGATTGTGAGGAGCCGAAAATGTAACCAACTTATAAGACTGAACTTTTTTCTTTGAAAATTTGAAAGCAATACTAATATTAATATTGAAACCTGTAATAAAGGCAAAGAGTAGACACACTAAATACTGACAAATATGATACTATGTTTAGTTGTTGAGGTTCCTGTGTAAATCTCTGTTAAATGTTTTCTGTTTTTTTCCTGGCACTGAAAAATGAATGACTTTGTGGACATATCCTAATAAGGCAGTGTTTAATGCAGAAACCTTCACCTTATATGTAGCCTTTCTTGGCATATTACCACCGGAACAATTACGCTAATCTCCTCTATCTGATTTCCTGTTATGTTAGCACCAAGTTATCTGTGCCACATATTCATTTTCCCACGCTAGGTTTAGTTCTGCTTATGGCGGCTGTACCTAAAACAATGACATTTGAATCTTTTAAGACATTCAAGTAACATATTCTTTACTTGTTGTGAGGTGACCATAACTATGTGTGTATCAAATATTTTACAATGGTTTCGGTTTTATACATTCGATTACTGTGTTGGTTAAAATAGTGGAATAGGCTTGGTGACTGGTTGAACGTAAGTTATACAGTGAAAAGGATAAATAACTAAAGGAATAGCACCTGGCATGTAAACCAGTATGGCCGTTTTGCCCGCTCTGGGTTAAGGTAATGTTATCTCCACAGTTATTTAACCTTCTGACCCTTCGCTTTTGTGCCCAGAGCAATTACCGCCCATCACTGCAGCAGCACTCTAAATGACCCCGAAGGTTTCTTGGACACATCAACACATCACCCAATCTGTAGATGCCTCATCCTCAAGACAGCTACAAAAGCAGTTAAAGCCTTCCAAAGCCCCGTCGCGAAAATGGCTCAGATGACTGAGGTTCACTGAAAGACATCTGACAGCGTTTAGTTTCTCTTGCTGAGTGTGAATGGAGTTCTAGACCCCTGAGAAAAGCAGTGGAGAAAACGTAAGCCACAGTCAGAGAAAAGCACGCATTTGTTTTCACGCTATGCACCATCATGCCTGTGTAAATTCTCTAAGGTGCAGTGAATTCTGGCGTTGAATAATTAGAATAAGCGATACATTCTGCCACTGCGATCAAGCATTCTGTCCATATTGAACGAATTTTGTCTGTTGCTTCTGTACGTTTAGTACACTACGGTAGGGATCACTGCCCTAAAAATCTGTCTTTCATTGTTTGGTATGGATACTCCACTCTAATTGAAGGAATACTGTCATTATTTTGTCATTCCAGCCTTGTGTACATCAGTTTGCATTCCCTCTGAGCTCTACAGCTGGTGTTCAGCGACCGTTCTGTGGATTTTAGGTAGAAGACTGCAAGTATGTGATCAGTTTACAAACATCTGCTTGCAATTTGAATGGCTTAGATTTGTGGTCCAAGACGAATCTTTGGACGAGGGCATCAGTGAGCTGCTTCCAAAATGTGAGCAATGGAACTCTTTTTTTCTATTTATTTATTTTTAAGTTTTATCATGAAACATAGCTTCAGCAGTTTACTAGCCTTTGTGGACTTTAACAAGACCAACTACTGTGTTGTTAGTTAATAAGAAAGCTACCCATGTCACACGTTGTTTGTTAATAATAAAAGAAACATTTTGTTATCTTGAAGTGTTTTTAGATAATCTTAGGGACAGTTTGACAGATCCAGATTAAGTTAAATCCTAAACCTAAACAGAATTTCTAATGGTGATTCTCCTTTGATGCTTCAATTTAGTCCAAGACTAATCAAAATCTATGTCTGGGAAACCAGCACATAATGGTTTTTTTTTGTAATTTGATGTGGTTCTTTAAGGGGCTAAAATACTGAGGTGAACTGTAAGGATTAGCGATGTACAGTCGAGTTCACAAATGCAGAAGTTTGAACACCTGGCCAAATTACATTTTTTTAGTGTTCTTAGTGAAAATAAGTTAATGCATCCTCTACAGGGAACTTAAATAAAAAACTCAATTGCTGTTTATTTGCTGAGTTCAACATGAAAAACAAAATGTGGCTTTTGTACAGTTATACTTTTTTTTTTCCCTAAAATGTTAAAATCATGAACTGTAACTGTTCAGTAAAATGTGCAGAGGTGTGTTCTCTGTAGAGGATGTTTTAACTTATTTTCACTTAAATAATCAGAAAAGCTACATTTTGACCAACTTTTGCATAAGACTGTAGATATACAGATTTATAAGTTATATATATATATATATATATATATATATATATATATATATATACACATATGGATGCCCTATTATAGTCCATTCCTTTAGATTATTCTCAGATTTCTGTCACGTGTCACAATGTAGTTTTGCATCAACAGTTTCCTTTACCTTCACATTTCTGATTTCCAGTTACAGTTATATGGCAAAAATGATGTACACACTATAGACTGTACAAAAAAGCTTAAATAACATATAGCTGAATAAAAACTTGGGTAAATAACATTTATTGCTGAATAAATGAACTAATTTAAACAAGGACATCTTTGTTATTGCTAATTACCATTTGCTCGTTGCCGTCTTACGCAGTATCAGTTTATCAGCGAGCTGGCTTTCAAACCTGCTCAGCAAGAGCAGATGGGGCTGCTCATCCATGCATTGATAATCTGTGGATCAATCAACAGACTTAACACAAAAGATAGGTTTGCCTACATCTTTTTCAATCTATATGCTTTTATTGTTTAGCCCTTTAATGTCCTCACCGTTTTTGTATTTTTTATCCATTTTTTTTTACCCCACAATTTTAAAATATTCACGTCTATCATATATAGTGACTCAAAATGCGCTCTACCAAATAGTTGAACAGAACATTAAAGGGTTAGACAAGGGAATGAGTTCAATCAGGTCCATGAATATTTGAATGTAGAAAATGTTCTTGTTATTTTATCCATTTACTACTTTCAGCATAATTTGAGGATATTTATGTCAAAATCAGGTGAATGCTGTAGGAATTACATTGTATATACCCCCCCCCACACACACACACACACACACTTACCCTCCCCCAATTTTCAGGGTTTCAAAAATAATTGGAGAATTGGCTGCTTAGCTATTCCATAGCCACTTATGTGTTACTCTCTCATTATTTCACTTAAAAATAAGCAGATAAAAGATCTAGAGTGGATTTCAAGTGTGGCATTTGCATTGCAGAATCTGTTGCTGTTAACTCTCAATATGAAGTCTAAAGAGCTTCGGTGCCAGTGAGGCCATCATTAGGCTGAAAAATCAAAACAAACATAATTTATTTCAGCCCAGTATGCTGTGGTAGATGGCTACCATAACAATTACTTTGTCAATGCCCAAATATTTATGGATCTAACTGGATATCATCAGTGTCATGACGAATCCTTTTCCAAACTTATCCTTTGGAAACTTTATAGGAGAGGGAAAAATGTGCATTATGTACGTAATGGATGTTTATGTAACAAGATTTTTGGGCGATTTCTGTTGATCCAGTTGTCAAGCAAAGTAAAAGACAGCTGTCAAAAAAAAAGTTTAATATGACATTGATGATAAAAACCTTTTCTGGTTCATGCCGAAGCAAGGCAGCCGTATGTCTGATGACCCTTGCTCTCCAGAAAGAATGTTCCAGAGTTACGAGAGCCAAACCACCATCCGCTTTCCTCGCTGCCTCTTGTGAACTTCAGGACAGATCAAAACCAGACCCTTGCTGTCGTCGTGGAAACACAGAGCATAATGACATTCGTAAGTCATGGTGAGATAGAATCGGAGACGGAGCGACATAAATCTGCAAAGTTCACATGCAGCTAAGATGTTAGCAGGCCTCAGTCACACTCCTGCCTGCCATACATCTTGTCTTCTCCTCCCCTCTTTGACCTGAGGTTGTGTTTAGTCTTTCTTACTCTTCCCTTCTTTGCGAAGACAGCTGGAGGCTGACTGGAACCTGATCTCCTGTGAAGAGGGAAATGTTCCTACAAGATGACGGCCTAAATGGAGGAATCTACCCAATTTTTCCTTCTCCCTTGACTGATGGGGAAACAAATGTTTGATCTTTGAGCTTTCCGTCCATCTTTCCGCAAGATGATGATACGGAACCACTAAAGAAGACAGACAAGAGGCAGCTGGTGGATTTGGTTGCAAATGCACATAAGAACACGATGATGAAAGCTCAGTTTATTGATATGTTCTGTTACACTTACAGATAGAGCTCCTTCTATACAAACACATTATGTACAATACATGTCGGACAATCCAGTATTTCCTTGAATAAACCTTCAATTCTATTTTAAAAGAATTCCAATGCCGCCCGATGTGTCTGTTAGTACTAGTGCAGTCTAAAGATAAACCAGCAACAGAAAACCTCCATCAAATGAAGTACTGACTCAAGACCTTTAGAAACATCAGATCTCTTGGCGTTTGAGAAATTTCCTGAATGGAATTGAGGCAGTGGTTAGAGAAATGTTCCCGAGAGAGATGGTAAGGAGCACTGAGAGTAGAGCTGGCTGACTAACAAGAAGAGAGTTGAGCAGGTGACCGATGTCTTATTGCTGTTTACTAGGCTGTCCATCTCACCAAAGGAGAGAATGTGATCGTCACTTCTCTTTTCATCAGTTTTCAAGTAACCTCAGCCCCATTTAAACTAGATTGTGAAAAAACGATGGAAAGTTAGGCCACCTTTTCAGGTGAGTAAACTAAATTAACTAGCTAGACAAACCAACATCAGCTGTAGCTAGACGTGATAAGCTGCTTAAACAGAACGTGATATGTTGATTCCTTCTTTCGCATCTCTCAGACAGTAGATAGACAGTAGATGCATTTATATTGATCTAAAATGTCATTTATGGATTTAGCTAAAAAAGCTAACATCAGCTAACTCTTCTTACCTTTGGATTCTTTTAATTGTTCTCCTTCTATGGTTGTTTGGAAACCAGTGGAAAGACAGTAATAACATTCTCTCCTTCGCTAAGATGTACAGCTTGGTATACAACAATCAACTCTCTTCTTGGTTGTTGGCCACAATACCAGCTATGTGAAATAAGCCCATAGAGTTGGTCAAATGAATTTTCCCAAAATGAAAAAAAAACAAGAACAAATTAAACATGTGCAATGCCCGGATTTCCTCACAGCATCAGACCCCACTGGTAAAATGGTATCCAACAAAGTTTCTGCTAAACAGTACAATTGAAAAATAAGAACACTGATATTGACTGGTATCCTATCTCAGTCAATAAGTCAAAGGTAACACGACCAAAGTTAGTTCAAAAGTTCAGTGCTGTGTGGACGCGGTGTGTTTCACGGGCTTGCTTTTGGCTCTGGTGATTATCCAGCTCCTCCTGGATGAGCTGCGTGAGGAGGCCCTGAAGCTTTAGCCTTATGGCCCGGGCACGCTCTACCTCCTCCCCTCCCTCTGTCTCCACACAATCCTGCACGGCCTGCTGGAGCTCCACCTGCAGGGGGCGCTCTGCTTTATCCCCCAGCAGCGTGGGAGAGAACCAGGAGCGGAAGATCTTCTCACAGATCACCTGTACAGATAGAGAAAAAGAGGGAAGAGAGGCTGATGATGAGTCAATGACCCCAATGGGAAAAGGCCATTATGAGCATGACCTCCTGGTCTTATTTCATGAACATGGCTGCCATCATCGGACATATTCTTATTACATGTTGTTTGAAGGGGACATCCTCTTGACCTAGCAGCCTCCACAACACAAAGCCTGTATTGTCCTGAATGGCAGGCAAGACAATAGGAAGGCAGAGGTCATCGGAGTCATGATAAGTGATCAGGGATGGAGAGATGGGCTCTGTCTTAGCCACCTGTGGCCTGGAAATGGACTTGGTTTCATCCTGCTCGCTCATCTGTTGGCCTGCCTCCTTAAAGGGGTCTGGCACTGACAGCAGGTGTTGATTTTGGGTCACATCACAAAAAGATGAAAGCGGTGATGTGATAAGGCTAAGATCATGCAGAGATCAACTGTTGCGGTGTTTTTCAACTCAATTGCTATCTACTGCATCTTTGGCATACTGATTACCACAGACAATGATTTCGATGCATTTCGCAGTACTTAGAAAATAATAGAAAAGCCTTTGCTATGGCAGCGTATTCCAGCCGTAAGCTCTTCTAGTCGGTCAAGAATCACTTCAACACGAAACAACAGGAAATCATTTTTCGACAGAATTATTCTCGGCCTGGTTTGCCAGTGTCGAAATGTCACTAGCTGTGGTTGCCAATGTTACTTCTGTATTCTAAACAAGCGTCTAGCTTTAGTACAGCCAAAGTTTAGACTTTTTCATCATGTCCTCTTAAGACACCCCTAGCACTAAAAAATTCCTCCTGATGTCCAATAAACAGTGTTTGATTAACAGGAAGCCTTGTTGAAAGTGAAAATGCAATTACAAACAGGGTTGCAAATACTTTTTAGTTTTTGCAGAGCTGAAACACAACGATGAGGAAAACAGGCGACTGTTATTCTGTTTTTAATTTTAAAGTGATACCATTAACACAAAAATGAAAATGAGATGTCAAAAGCACTTTGCTTTTCCATATAAAACTTTTCTAGTCATCATACACAGAAATGCAAACACAAATACAGGTTTTGCATTTGAATTAAAAAAAATGGCGAGCCACTTTTTACAGCATACAATTTAAATATTACTTTTGAATTGAGTGAATTTTTGAATGAAAAAGTCCAGAATATGCTGCCATACTTTGTTTCAAAATAGAAGCCATTGGGCAGTTGCTGAATTCTGTGGATTAGTGTTTGAAATGCATGACTTTGTAATATAAATTTAAAATAGTATTAAGTTTTATCCAACTTTCAAACACTCAGTAACTCAGTTACTTTCCACTCATTTTCTGGTGTCCATATACAATCAAGCAGGACATTTAGGTCGTTACCTTCATGCAATGAATGACCACAAATGTTACCCCTAGAAAACAAAGGTCATCACTGATTAATTGTACAGAATTGCAGCTTACTTGTAACTGAAGAAATACTTGTTTACTGGTGAAATTCAGTAACAGCACATTTGCTGTTGTTAGTATTTTGAGTTGCCAGGTTTTCTTTTACTGCGGTTATTGATCTTATACTACAGATAAAACAGATAGAGATTAGGCTGACATGCTTGAGTATCCCTTTAAATTAGACCAAATCAGAAGTAAACACTTTATTATATTATGTAAATTTGTGTTTATTTATGTTCTAATCAAAGCAGCCGGTTTAGAGCCCCAGCTTATAAAGTCTTATGACATATTTCTGTGATATCTCTTAAAATGTCACTGTCTCACTTTCAAATATGGTCTGGATTGTTGAGGGTTGTTTATCTTCCTCCTCAAGAAGGGTATCTTTTGTCACCACACATTTCTAGCCTCCATTATGTTTGGAACAGGGTAATGATAGTAGGCCCCTATTCTTTCCAGTGCCATCATGAGCTATTAACATTCCACACATTGTTCTCAGTAGTGCTGAAGGTCGAGGAATGACCATCTCCGCCTGACCGGTACAATGGTAATTTTGTTTGTCTCATAAAACAATAATATCTAAATGTCACATTAGCTAAAAAAGGGTTTGTATTTGTAGAGAGTTTGATTATTATTATACCTGGCTTTGCATTAAATTGTAAAATGGTAGATAGTAAGCAGGCATGAATAAAAGAGATGAATTGAGTTTGTGACGGTTGCTATATTGTTTTTCCACCTACCTGAAGGTTGCTGTTTTTGCGCTTTGACCCACACTTGTTTCTCTTTGTGTCACATTTGGAGATGCAGTCGAAGAAATTGCAGTCATTGTCATTGGTGCAGTTCTGCTCGAGAATGTCCTGCATTTTAGGCTCAAAAAAGGCCATGTCCACATCTATAGCCGCCACCTGCCCGAAGCAAAGCGTAGATAACAGGTATTTTAGAAAGAGATCAAGTGCAAGTGCTTCACTTCACAGAAAATAAAAAAAATCTCCATTTTTGCTGTTTTTCTGTTTTTTTACATAATGTAAAAATGCCTGTTGCCCTTTACATTGTGTATAAATTTCATGAAGAATGGACCAAAGGAAACAGCCCAAAATTACTTGAAAAAATTCTGCTTCCATTGACTTCCCATTGAAAGTAAAGTAGGTTTTTTCCCTCTCCTGTAAAGTTACCATTTTGGAGATACGAGGTTTTATTCCAAAAACAGCGATATATAAACATTCATATTTAAGTATGTTCTCTGAACTATTACCATATATATATATATGTATATCAGATGCAAGATCTCTCTTTGTGAAATAATAACTCTTCATAAGTTAACCTGTAGGATATAAACACGGTTAACCATAGTATCTCTATAGTTTAATTCTGAGAAATGATTCAGCTGCACTGATTTCACTGTTTACAATGAGCAGAATATATTGCGGAGATTTAGACCGTATTAGCACATGCTCTGTTTAAACATGCCCTTCTGAGGACCTCCAGTCATGGCAACATGTTACCATATAAATAACACGCGTCACTGACAAACCTTATCCGTTAATCTCTTGCGATGAGTGATGTTATGACGAAGCATGGCAACAGACGTAATCTGGCACATTTTGAAAGGAAATTTCTTTTTTTTCTGCCATGACTATGTACACAGCATGGACTGTGTGCAGTGTGACTCAAAACAAAGTCAGAAAGGTCTTATTTGTGTAAACTTGCAGCTACAGTTAGATTTCTATTGGTTATTGTAGAAAAGATTTAGGTCTGATAAAAGCCATCATTATTTTAAAACCCTGTCAAAATCCTGTACAAATCATGACATTTTCTCACACACTATTGAGGTCAACATTTTATATTATTATAACTATATTTTATAATATCTTTATATTTCTTTCTTAATGTATAAAAATATTCCTAACTTTCAGTGTAAGTTAATGTTACAAGATTTTATTCCAAGTCATTTTCTACCATTTCTAATGGTCAGTTTCTAACGGCAGAACGAAAGGGCAGCTGATATTTTTAAATTACATAAAAAACAAGAAACAACAAATGTAGGGATACAAAGTTTTGTTCTACCAGTGAAAATAGAATATTATTGTTTTTAGCCAAATACTTCATGAATTTCAGTATATTCATTTACAAGATTTAATTTTTTAATCATATTTTTGGATTTACACTGATCAAATATAATTAAGTAATGCATCTATTTATTTATTAATTCATGCTTTCTTTTTGTATTTCTTGTTTTCTGACTGACCCAACAGCACTGTTCTAATTGAAGCCTCAGCTACTGCAAATCTTTAGTTAAATATATTAAAATGGAAGCAAAAATATTTAACTTTACAATAAACTTCTCTATTTTTCCTAAACTCCTGCTTCCTTTTAAAAGACACATTTGGTAATCAAGGCTATTAGTAATAAGTGCTCAAAAAATTCTGAATTATTCTTCCTTTGAGAAAACTCTACACAGCAATGTAGTTTGTGCACGCAAAGCTAGGAATTCAGCAATGTTCTGCCTGCTCACCTTGAATTAATGTAACAAATAAAGATTTTGTGGTATTTGAAATAAATGGACAGGTGCTGAATTCATTGCCTTGAAAAGCTACCAATTTGGCGCCACTGTGTATTCACCTTACATTCATGCTGTAAATAAAGATTTTGTGGTATTCTGTAATAAATAAATGGAGCGATTTAGCTGATCCATTCAGTGCGGCTGCCTCCGCGGCCGTGGGGGGAAAATAAATTCCATGACCTTGTCATGTTTATATAAGGTTTTTTATTATTTTGCACAGAAGAAGCAGTTCACCAGGCAACATGCTAGCCTTAGGCACAGCTTAATGACAGCTACTCCTGCCTTTTTAAGTCCAGCCTTTTGTTATTTCTGCCCTTTAGACAATGAGATCCAAAGATACTATTCTTCATGTGCACAGATCAGGAAAGTACCCACCGTCAAGTCCTTCCTGATGGCGAAGTTTTCAGGCTTGATGTCGCAAAGGTGTAAATGATGAGAAAAGTCATTCTCAAAGTGCCCCACCATATCCAAGAAGCTGAGGGCCACTCGGGGCACCATGTCCACCTCCATCAGCGTCCTTCCTGGCCCATCCTGCGGGCTCAGAGAAAGATCGTCTATCGAGAAAATATTCTGGTCCCAAGCATGTCCAGCTGCCAGGTATTCTACTGCATAGAAATGGCCACAGGAGCCCAGCACCTTAGCCACGTGGTCAGTCAGGTCCTGCATCACACGGAGGAAGGTGTATTCCTCCTGCTGCAGCAGAGCCCAGAGCGAGGCCAGCTCAGCCCGAGTGTACGGCTGCTCCCTCTCCTTCAGCCGTTGGCTCCAGAACCGAGGCAGGCTCAGGTTAGTCTCCGCCTCCAAGCCCAGCGAGTTCTTAATCTCCAAAGTGGCGTAGAAGACCACATCCAATGGCGAAAGCTCCTCCTCACCCCCAGGGCCTCCTGCCCCGTCCTGGTACTCCAACAGAGCCAGAGCTTCATAGGAGGAGAAGTTCTCCAGCTTTGACTTGAGAACCACCGGCAAACCTCGCCAGCTGGCCGCCATGACCTTCTTGCCGTTCTCGTAGTAGAGGCAGCGCTTGTATTCCACATGGCCGCCCACGCAAAGGTCCTCACATAGGTCACCCGTTAAGACACCCTGCTGGTATTCCTCACACTGAAACACAGGGAATGATATGTCAGTTCACTGGTCAACCTGCAAACCCAGCATTCTTCAGTGTTGTGATGATTCTAGGAAGGTTGATTATTAGAAAATAAAGCTGCAAGAGGCTGTTTGTTACATTGATTTTAACATGACTGAAGGGTGAAGCAGTCAAATTTGCCAGAGGGCAATATGATAAAATACAACAATGTTTACATGAGTACAGTTATTATTAATAATAATCGCAATAAACAGTTTTTTTAATAAGTAACAAGTCCATTAACAGTAGACGATGGTTGCTAATCGACATAATGGTTAAAAGTTATACCATGAACTGGACAGTGTTTTTTAATACCTTGATGTGTTAATACAGAATTCAAATGTTGTGTGTCACAAGTGTAGATATTGAGTGTTTTGCAATGGCTTTAAATCTAGCTCAGCCAGTCAGATTGCAGAACTATTGTTTTCAACAAAATATCATTGACCGTTTCTTCACTTTTTTGGAATAAAAGAGTTTGATGTAGGTAAACACTGTTAAAATTTCAAAATACCATTCACTCTCCAGTACATAGAGTCCATAAATGGAAACTAATCTGCCCGTGAACACCAACATATTCAGTCTACAGCAGTTGAGCTCCACCCGTTCAAGTTGAAGTTATGAGTAGTGTTTTAGTCTGGACTACTTTTTGAGCGAGGCACAATATAGGACAGCCAATCAGAACAAGACACAGTAACAAAGCCAAGTCTGAGGGACAAAGAGAGGTTGCAAAATGTTAATGTGAAACTGAATTATGAATGTTTTTCATACATTAAACCACATGAATGTCTGAAGTGGAGCAAGTTAGTCATTATGAAACTAACATGTAAATTATGTAGTTACGAGAGTGAGCAAATGAAGTCTGCACCTGATTTCGGATCCTTAAAGCTAAGTAAGAAAGAGACAGAAAAAGACCTAGTAAGCCTAGTCAGCTTCCCAAGAATATCTATATATTGAAGACATTCAATATACTCTATAGAAATATTCCACATTCTGTAGCTGTGTCACATTAGTCATCATTGTTAGTCTGTCTGGCATACAAAACCTTAATCAACCTTATGATAATTTATGACCCTCTCTTTATAACTAATCACATGGATGATTGCTTTTCTTCATAACTAATCACACTGTCACTCTTTCTCAGGATTCGCTTTTTAGGTAACATAAGTCAAGGTGAAGGTGTTGTCATGGAAACAGGGACAGTGGGGATCTTACAAAAACACAAAATGTGAAGAAATGGCCTTGTTAGCTGTTCTGTGTGATGGCAAACTCTCCACCCTGAAAACAAATCCTCACACTTCACATTTTACAGTACAATTTAGAAGAGTTTTTCCGTGTGTCTTGTGTCCAAAGGTTTGTAAGACACCTGCTTGTTCAGCATTTCTTCTGAAATCAAGGATATTAATAGGGAGTTTATCCCACCTTTGCTGCAGCAACAGTCTCTACTCTTCTGGGAATGTTCTACACTAGATGCTGGAACGTGCTGTGAGTATTTGATAGCATTCGGGCCCCAAGAGCATTAGTGAGGTCAGGTACTGATTTTGGATGATTAATTCTGGAACCACTAAGATCTGGTTCTAGGTGTCACTAAAGGGTTTTCTCTTTCCTGTCTTGGGGTGGGGAATTGATACTGTGCAGGGAAGGGGTCTGCAGGACTGGAGTTAATGGAGTAAACTGAGTTATTAATGGAGTAAATGAGGCCATTGTGTGAATGATGCTAAAAAGTGGTCAAAATTGAGGTCCATGGTTGTTTTTTGCAGCATTCTCAAGGATTGCATCAGATTTGTATATGTACATGTTAATTTTTGCATGTTTTTTATCACTAAATATCAGGTAAAATATCACAGGTCAAATATCAAGCACAGAACAAGCATGTCACTAGGAGACAGATGTTGTTGGCATATGACTGGCATGTGGTGAAATTCAGGTATGTATATTTATTTATGCATATTTATTTCTCCGCAGATGATAGCTTAAAAATAAATAGAGTGCTTTAAACAGTTGCTCTACATCAGATTTGGACAAATGTGTCTAAGAAAGCTGTCAGCCAGTAAGGCTCTAGAACTACATACCGTAATGAACAGTGAAGCTGATGTTCTAATGTTGTGAGAATTGCTTAGTAAATGTATGAGGTGCAGGCATTTGTCCAGCACTGGCTGTGGACTGAAGTTTTGTCCATTATTCAGAGAAACATCTAATAAACTCTTACCTCCAACAGATTTTATAGACATTATTCAGTGGAACAGCTCACTTAAATGCCAGAACCTGAAGGTTTCTGACTTAGTTTTATTCGCTTTATTGTAAAATAATGAGACTGGGACCTGTGATTCTGTTTTTGGATGTGTGGTTTTTACCACTTCACTGCATTGTTAATTGATGCAGGTTTTAAACCCTCTAAAACGATTCTGAATGCAGAATAATGTTACATTTTAATGATTGCATGCAGTTCACCACAACCCCACTACAAACCATTTATTCTTTTGCCTGCAGTGTATTGACAGGCTTGTGCTCAGTTGGTAATGTGCCTTTTTTATGACATGCTACTCTTTAAGCACTTCCAACCTCAGTCCTTATTTATTAAAGCAGTCTGCATTTCATCTCATCCTACACGTATTGAATATATGCCTTTGGTGAGCTATAGGGTCAATGCATACTTTACAAGCGCACATAAAACCAGGCTCTTTAATCTCTTCAACAGTCAGACAGCGATTCATTATGCTGAGTGTAAAACCAATTTAACACACTTCTCCTTTCGTCTACACCACTTCTCATCCCTGTCCTCCTCCGCTAACGAAAAAACATGAGCTAATCGCCAGCTGACTCTGCACTCATACATCTCCGTTTGGACTGGAGAGGCAAAGCGTGATTAGTGTTTCGCAGAGATTAGCTGCAAATCCTCTACTGCCACATTCCAAAGTAAACAGCTGTCATTGCGAGTCAGCCAAGGCTTGGGCTGGGCAGCTAATGGTCCTGACTGCCCTGACATTAGCGCGTTAGAGATAGCAATATGTTTTCCTTATCATCATCCATTAGCATAGTTTATTGGGTGTCTCCCCCTTTCTTTTCCTCCCCACCTTCCTTATCTCTTGACACATAAGTGTTCAAAAACTGCAGGTACAACTGTGGCTTAAAAAGGGCTTCAGCGTGTCACGTTGAAGCTGTTGCGAACAAGTGAAGATATAGATTTTACAGTATTTTCTGTGTTCTCTTTTATTTTGTGAATGCTTTTTGATCCCTACACAGAGGTAGATAGTAACAAAGCGGAAGTGGGTAATCAGGAGAGTCGGGAGAGTTCCCGGTGGGCTGGTAGTGTTTTGGGGCAGTTACTGTGGGCTAATGTATAAACTTACACATGTAAGCACAAGAACACTATAAGAACAAACTATAATCCAGGTGTTCACCGATCAGGCATAACATTATGACCACCTCCTTGTTTCAGTGCTCATTGTCCATTTTATCAGCTCCACTTACTATATAGGTGCACTTTGTAGTTCTACAGTTACAGACTGTAGTCCATCTGTTTCTCTGCATACTTTGTAAGCCCCCCTTTTACCCTGTTCTTCAGTGGTCAGGACCCCCATGGACCCTCACAGAGCAGGTACTATTTGGGTGGTGGATCATTCTCAGCACTGCAGTAACACTGACGTGCTGGTGATGTGTTAGTTAGTGTGTGCTGGAGTTTTTAAACACTGTGTCCACTCACTGTCCACTCTATTAGACACTCCTACCTTGTCAGTTCACCTTGTAGATGTAAAGCCAGACACGACAGCTCATCTGCTGCTGCACAGTTTGTGTTGGTCATCCTCTAGTCCTTCGTCAATGGTCACAGGACGCTGTCCACAGGACGCTGTTGGCTGGATATTTTTGGTTGGTGGACTATTCTCAGTCCAGCAGTGACACTGAGGTGTTTAAAGACTCCAGCAGCACTGCTGTGTCTGATCCACTCAGACCAGCACAACACACACTAACACACCACCACTACATCAGTGTTACTGCAGTGCTGAGAATGATCCACTGACCACTGAAGAACAGGGTAAAAGGGGGCTAACAAAGTATGCAGAGAAACAGATGGACTACAGTCTGTAACTGTAGAACTACAAAGTGCACCTATATAGTAAGTGGAGCTGATAAAATGGACAATGAGTGTAGAAGCAAGGAGGTGGTCATGATGTTATGCCTGATCGGTGTAAGTATTGCTTTTTAAGTAAGTTATTCAATGCTTATGCATGTGTCATGAAGTCCCAATGTAGAAAGTTTTAAATAAAGTGTTACCTTAACATTAGTTCCTATGCTAATAGATGCTGGACGTACTAAGATGTTCTGCTGCAGTTGTTTAGGGTACTACAGCAGTTTTGTCTGATAATTTGTCTGATAATTTAGGTAACAATACTTTTTGGAGGATGGCTTTAGGCTGCTCTATCTACCTTTGTCCCCAAGTTACCATGTCCAACAGTCTTGCATATTTGCCCAGGCCAAGCTTGCTTAAGTTATGAGGTTTAGCAGCTAAACGCTGGTCAGTATGCACTAGCCTCAAACAAAGCATACGAATATGCTATATCACCAGCCTACGAGTTAAAACTCTTGTAACCTGATATTCCTGCTATCCAGCAGTCTTTCTAAACAGAGAATGAGTGTTCCCTCTCTACCGCCCACATTATATTTGTGTAAGATGTGTCGTGGTCGTTGTGGTCGCTGGTTTGCAGACATCTGGCCTGGCCCATTCTTTTTTTGACATGGTCTGGAGGTCTGCCAAGTACCACACATCCGTTTGAATTCCCTAGATTTCTTGGCCTTGCATCATATCGGACAGCAGCTGTTTTTAGCTTCTGTTATTGCATGTAAACTTTCCCACCGTGGGGTTGGACACGGTCTTCTTCATGTTCATATTTATGTGCATAGTATGTGCTGTATGTTTTCTGACTTTACTTACAGATCAGTGAATGTACTCGTGGGAACTCATGGTTTTCACATAAAATTT